GAATTGCATACAAAGGACCACGCAGCCCTAGATTCTTTTGTTTAGTCTGGAGACGCTGATTTGCAACAGGTCTCCCCTCCCCCTTCCCCTCTCTCCAGCCTACGTAATTACCTCATCCTGTTGGCCGCTCAGACTTGGGAACTTTCTTATTCACTTCCCACTAGTTTGCCCCAGAGCAGACTGCAAAGGGTTGTGGATTAAATATCATCAGAATTTCTGCGTTTTCTTAATGGCGTTTGGGCTGCCTTAACAACAAGCTGCTGGTATTCATATTCATAAATAGTAACCTAAATATCATATGCTCATATGATAACTACCAGTATCTAATTTTCAAAAACTGTTTTTTTTTTTTTTTTATATTCATGACTTGAGGACAACATTTGCTGAAAACAAGGCTAAAAAAGACTAATGGCTGATTTGGAATCTGATCAAATTGGGTATTACAAACGGTTTATAAGCAGGTTTATTTTCTCTGGCTAAAACACATTCAAAGTGTTTCAAAGGCCCAAGTCCTGTTTGATCATGGTTAACTTTGATTAGACATGCCTAAAACGCTGAATAAAAAAAACAACTGATAATCAACTCTGTAATCTTTGCAAATATGCTGTTGCCGTTCTTCAAAACAATCTCCCTTTTATACAGCGATTGTTCTTGTGGTCAGCCCCGTTGTGTGTTACTTATCCAAGCATGCAAAGTGTGCTCTGTCTGTGCAATAGACCTGGCTTGTATTTGTCGAGGCAGGTTTTATAACTGCCACACCATCAGACCAGCCTTTGTGACGTCCCCCCTACATCCCTCCCCCTCTCCATTCCCCCCTAGTCCTCCTCCTCCTCCTCCTCACACCCTCCCTCCCTCACTCCTTATATGAATCACATGGCTGAACTTGACAGCTTGCTTCTGACACATCAGCTGCCTCCCAGACAGCTTGCGTTCAGTGAGCGGCTGCGGCAGAGCGGCTGGGAGATCGACAACAGGGTGGCTGACATAAAAGGATACGTATTTTTCTTTGTCCTGTTCTCATACGCTCTCCTTTCTCCCCACATGTGCTCCCTTGCGCAGGTTTGATGATGCTGTCAGGGAGTGAGACGGATGATGAGGACAGCGTGGACGCCCCTCTGGATCTGTCGTCCAGCGCGGGCAACAGTGGGAAGAGGAAACGGCGGGGGAATCTGCCCAAGGAGTCGGTTCAGATCCTCCGGGACTGGTTGTACGAGCACCGTTACAACGCTTACCCCTCTGAACAGGAGAAAGCCCTCCTGTCCAAGCAGACTCAGCTCTCCACACTGCAGGTAGGGACACAGTTATGACAGGAAAGATAAGATTACCCATAAACCCATAGGAGCGTAAACAGACCCCTGTAGAAGACGAGAGGAAGCAAGTGTCAGCTTGACTGAATCATTTCCTGTCTAGATGGCAAACAAAACATGACACACAAACAGTGACTTGAAGGTCAACTAAACCAGCTTGATGTTGCAATATTAAAGCCTGAGACAACGTGAGTAAACTCACTCCCTGTGTACTGTGGGCTTGGCTGAGGCACTTGGACAGGAATTTCCCTCCCTCCAGCCCCTTTCCATCCCAGCTGTCTGGGAACAATGCAGAGTCATTTACATGGTTAGAGCAGCAAGTCTCCCTGAGCCAGTTACGACTAGCCTGGAGGACTGAGGGGGGAAAAAAGAAGAGCAATGACCGTGATTACCACTCTGACAAAGGAGATTACTTTTTATTGAAAACTATTTTAAATACAGGATTAAGAAGTCTGAAGTAGACTTTTTGTGGCAAGTTAATGTTTAGCTTCTCATAGAGATGTGATCATAATCTTAGAGTTCTGTTTTTTCAGTCCTGCTGTGCTTGAATGATATAGAGGAAATATAAATGTGTGAAACATACAGGCTCTGGTGTGAAATACTGTGTCATGGGTGTGCTTACCCTTTGATTTTGAATTCTCTATTGAAAACACAGGTGCAAACAGCACCTGGGCATAAGTGTACCAGCAGATTTTCTTTTAAATTGCAAGGCATAACATAAGTGAGCCATGTGATGCGGCTTTCTCACAGCATGAATTTTTGTTGTCCTGTTTCCAGGTGTGCAACTGGTTCATTAATGCACGACGTCGACTTCTTCCAGAGATGCTGAGGAAAGATGGCAAAGATCCTAACCAGTTTACCATATCCAGGAAAGGTAGTAAGGCTGGCGACAGCTTCTCTGACAGCTCCCAGTCCCCGAAACACAGCAGTCCTGCAGCAGGTATGGAGGAGAGGAGCTATGACAAACGTGTTCTTCACCCGTCCAGCTTTGAACCCACCATGCCCAGTGTCCTGAGGAAGGCAGTGTCTCCCTCCATACCATCTCCAACCTCCATGTCTCCTTCTCCTGGGCTCATACCCACTCGCCCTTCTGTCATCTGTCACACCACTGTCAGCACAGCAATGCAGGCCAGCCCGACAGCCTCCCACCCCTCTGTGCCAGGAATGAACTGTGACAGGGCAGCTGAGCTGTTTCAGTCTGCACAGGCGCTGCTCAGATGCCGGGATGAAGGGCCAAGCGGCCAGCCACTACCCACCACTACCACCATCCTCAGCAGCACCAGCATGGAGGGCAACCTGAGCCCCCGCAGCGGGCTCTTCAACACCCCTCCCCCCACCCCTCCAGACCTCACACAAGACTTCAGCGGCTTCCAGCTCCTGGTGGATGTGGCCCTCAAACGGGCTGCAGAGATGGAGCTGCAAGCCAAACAGCTGGTCTCCTAAAGGGAGAAAGTGACAGAAGAAGAAGAGGAGGGAATAGAGACTGACTTTGTGTTTCAACTATGGAACTCCTCTGAGTTCAGTGACTTGTCTGCACGCAACAGAGAACAAATCCACATGAAAGCCTGATCATTTATATTTTTGGTATACCAATCAAATTGATGAGGATGTTTTTTTATGGAAAAAAACTGTATCGAGGTGCCTTGGCTGTAAGTTGTTTATTCATTTCACATACATGCGTATGTATCTACATGTGTATCTTATTTGCACACAGGGACCAAAAATGTTATCAGAGAAATGCTGCCTGTCTTATGTCTTTACATTATACTGTGTATCATTTTAGAGAACGGAGCAAGAGCTAGAATCAACCCTCCTTCATAGACCAATCGCACGGATTGGCCACATCAACACATGTTTACTGTTATACATTTCAAAGATCAGTTCATGATTGGTCTGCCTTGTTTGCACACTAAAAGGCAGAGGAAGGTCATCTCAGTGTCTTAAACATACTTTGCTCTTGGCGTCTATGACAAACTTATTCACTACTGTAGTAAAGTTATGTGTTTTTCATGAATATAAGTATAGTATTGATTTTGTAATTTACCTTTACTTTTAGCTTTAAAAAAAAAAACTCTTATCCTTTTTTTTTTTTTTTTTTTTTCTACTTTTTCCCACCAAGGGAAATTTCAGATGACCAATGTAGCAGGTTCATAGTCTGAGCCTTCATCCCATCACTCAGCGAACACGACGGCCAGTGGACTGGAAAATTAAACACTACAGATGTCTTTTCTGCATTTGCTTGTTTTACACCCTGACAAAGACAGCATTTTTGAAATCACCAAAAAAGCATTTTCATGTATAATAGGACCATGTGTATAGTTAATGTGACATGATGCCCAATGATGTGATTTCTTTTCATACTGTGCAATGTTTGTGGCAAATAGGGGTCACATGGGATTCAAATAAAGTTTTGTTTTTCTACATCTCAGAATTGATCATTTTGTATTTTCCATCCTGCGGATCACCCAGATCACTTTCCTCTAATGCACATTCATGCTGACTATATTCCTTTAAATCCCACTGAATTCTGTGGAGATTACTGATTCATCCCAAAAGGATAAGGAGAGCGTATTGAGTCAGAATGTTCGGCAAGTAAAAGCAGGGTGTACAGGAGGACAGACATAGTATAGCGTCTTTCCACAGGCTCCCGTTCAGGCATTCAGAGACATTCCTGTGTGTGAGAGGTTTACAACAGCTCCTGCCAATTAGCATAATCCTGCATAAATTAACACAAGCAAACGGCAGACGTCAACAGTTTCTTGCCAGCAGGGCTTTATGTGTGCCTGCCTCTCAATAGAGTCAATGTAAGTCAATATATAAGGGAGCTTACAACTGAGTCCGCTGGCTCGATCACAGCTAGGAGGACAGCTGTTCACTTCTAGTCCTGCTAAAGCTTCTCTATTAGCCTCAATAGGATTTGTTGTCTATATTTGCTGAGACAGCTACCCATTCATTTATTACATGTTCTTCTCTGAAGCTCAATCAATCATCAATCTATTTTTCTGATTTGAAAGGAATGAAAACCTTTGCTGAGGTTGTCTTTTGTAAAAAAAAAAAAAAGACCCCAAGAGCAATCAGTACACCATGTTCACTAATCAGCTAGCTACAATATGCGGTTGGTCTATCAGAGTAATCACTTAAATAATCATTATGTTGCTTAGTCAGTGGATGGAGCCTGTCCCTGCTGGTCATCAACAAATGTTGAGTTTTCCACCCTTTTTTCAGATGTTGCCTGTCAAACGTGACAGCTCTTGTGGTGGACAGACAGGGTTCAAATTTGGGGATGTAATCACTAAGGGTTTAAACAGACCTCCAGGCACACAGTGGGCAGTTGTAGACCACCATGATGGCCATCTGAAAGGTGGACAGACCCAGGACCAGGCTTTATGCAAAGACAACACCCACTTCTGTAAACCCCTTTTCCAACACCCCACCCCACCCCCTGAACTCTGGCGACTGAGGTCAGCATGCCTCCCCTCAGCATGACTGATGTGTGAATGACGAATCCCCAGAAGCTGCATGTACAGGAGTGACAGGGCTAAGCCAAGGCCAAAAGTGCTGTGTAATTATGGGGACCCACCCCTGCGGAAGGGAAATGCCCTAAAAACACACCATGCTGGCCTTGTAATCTGTTTAATTATATTCCGATTGAAAACACATGGTGAGACAGGGAAAGAAATAAACGCCACAAAATGATGGCAATGATATATATTTAATGCTGATAAGAGCTCATACACGTGCCATAACATCAACAGTGTAATAACATTAATTACAAAATGTATATCTGCTTAATATGTTATTTGTTGTTTTTTTTGTTTACATTTACATAGGGAAACATTCATTTATGTACAAATGTTTATTTGAATGTTTTTCTCTTAATGTAACTACATCACAAGCTTCAGAATTGCCAGGATTGCTGCAGTGTCTTTTGAGTTTAGCAATTAACCACAATCCAACATTCTGATTTCTAACTCCCTGCTATATCAGGAGTATTATACTGATATGTTAATATAATAAACATAAATAAGAAGTCAATCATTTGACAGACATTTCAATTCAAATACAAGTTCCAAAGTAAAAAATACTAAAATGAACTTCATCTACATAAAATGGCGGTAAGTTTGAACTATTGTAACTCAATATAAATATCCTCTCTAATATTCAAATTGACCAACTAAAGTAAATATAAATCATACTGTATGGTTACTTCATCACTTGAGCTCCATCACAAACGTCTCTCAATGAAAGTTTCAGGTAGCTGTTCAATAGGGACAAATAGCAGGAATATATCCTGACCTATAATTTTCAAATGGCACAAAAACTTCAATCAATACAGAGAATTGGATTACACACCAAAGTCCTGCTATTCTGTTATCAAAACAATAATGTGATGGTAAACCAGTTCAGGATTGTCTCAACATTCAAGCAGCTGACAAAAAATACCATGTTACATTGAAGTAATTAGGGCTGAGACACTCATTAGGAAATCATCATTCAAAAAAGATGGCATGTATATTATTCCCTTGTTTAAGATCATGGCCTATCCTTGTGGCTGGGGTTATATACAGTAAGATACAAAGCCATGGGTCACACACACACACACACACACACACACACACACACACACACACACACACACACACACACACACACACACACACACTTTCTCTCTCTCTCTCTCACACATACACAAACATCTTCCCCTGAGACTGCTGTTGTGCTCGACTATCATATTAGAAATTAAGGCTGATCACTGAAACAGAAAAGACAAAAAAACAGGTGCCTGTCATGCAAAAGTCATAAATAAAACATTAACACAGTATAAGGGCCTTGTTGTCAGTGCATAATAATAATCACAATGTCAATAAACAGTCATTGTTCTCCTAATCAATAAATTAAACATGAATACAAAATATTACAAATCTGATTTTTTTGTATGGCCTTCAAATAATTGCTTCATTTGAAGGCGGAGATAGTGCACACACAGTGAGGAGAAAATAGTCCCTTTTCACTCTTTCTCACACTTTAGTCTCAATACTGTCAATAAACCTCTCTTTTCTAAAAATGACATAATAAAATATAGTACAACTACCAGTATTGTACCAAATATCAGTATTTTAGCATTATCTGTTACACAGAAGAGTTTGAACGCAACATGAGAAAGAATTAAATCTGTTTAGAAAAGACAAAAAATATCAGTAACCTTGTGTCAGCATGCATGTCATATCATTATACTGTGTGTTCTTTATACAAACGTGTTTTGCTCAGTTTAAAATGAGACAAGACGGGTGGTTTGTTTACAGTTTGTTGATACTGCTACCTTAATCTTCAATTACAACAAGGACCCTTTAGACCTTGAAAAATAGGAAGCACTTTTGAAATAACACACACACACATGCTCTTTCTTCCACTCACACACACACAGATTAGGTTTGTGGCATTTTCGAACAGTGATTTCTTTAGTGAACTGCAAACCCAAAATCTGCTCCTGGCTCAATAGCCACTTTGCCTCACCTGGAGGAGCAAAATCTGACCTCTTGATCTTTCCTATAGGCTTGGCCTCCTGCTGCTGGAAAAGACCCATTTTCAGACATAGTGTTGAACTAATTGACACTAATGTTTGCCCTCATTATACGAATCAAAAACTATATATATATATTATAGTATTTTCAGAAATCATAGGATTTTATACAAATAAAATCAAATATGAGTGAATAGGTCTGGTCTCTCCATTTGATTTGATGTATTTGATCTGAGCAGATCAGATCAAATACATCACTTGTGTGTGTCTGCATGTATGTACATACACACACTCCACATGCACATGCATGCTCCCTCTCTGTTCCCTCTGATTCTCAGCACCTGAAACACATTAACGTAAAGCATCAGTGCTGGTGCTACACCTGGCTTACTTTGTAATATTAGGCCACTTTAAAAAAAAGGGATTTGTAAGATACTTTTTTGAGAGTGAGGGGCGGGTGGAGTTACAGGAAGAGGAGGGACTGCTACATCGAAGCTGGGAGAAGGAAACGAAGGGGTGACTAGGTGATAAATAAATAAATAAATAAAATACTGTAAATGTACATTTCTTGTTCAAACAACTTTCATCGTGACTGACCCCACAGTGATCATGGGAAGTCTACAAAAAATGTGATTATGCTAGCACCCTAGCCTTACCATTCAGTGCTATTGTGTAAATGGAACAGTGTATTAGGCATGTGCGTAGGTACATGTGTTTGCGTGTCTCATAGTCTGGTCTGAGCCTCGGGGATATAGATCTCGATACTGTCTGCACTCTCTGTAGCAGAGCTCTGCCGAACCGACGCGGCACGTTTGGCAGCTAGCAGGCGTTTGCGAGCCTCCAGACGCTGGCGCTCAGAGCTCTCCAGCGAGCGGTCCCTAGCCAGGTGAGGGTGGCCCTTCTGGGGCTTCTTTGGCACGGGAGGAGGCATCCTTCTCTCCTGGACAGGAATGACAAATAGTCTTAATGACAGACCACTGAGTCCTCATGGCAAGCTTCAGCTAAACACAGTAAGGAGCAACACAACTGCAGCCAGCTTGCATTAGGGTTAGAAATAGCGGTGTAGCTGACGTCGGCATAATGTCAGAGCATGCAATTTTTGAATGAGGTTATGGTTCACAGTGGCAGCCATTTGTGTGGGGTAAGAGAGCATGGTGGTGGCCACTGCGTGAGGTAAAAGTGACCATTGGAGATGGACAGGCCCCAACGGTGCATGGCAGGTAGTAGAGTAGCTTCTCAAAAGCAGCTCACTGTCAACAACAAAACAGAACAAAACACACAAATACAAGTGATGATGACGTCAGGCAGGCAACAGGACAGTACGCAACACATATTTGCATGCTACAACAAAACTTCACTGTGAATCATCATCAAAATTCCAAGTATACAGTAATGGCAGCAGATAACATGCAGGTTAGTAAAGCATTCCAAAACAAAACTGAGGCTAGATGAATTTGATTATTTAAAATGGAGCTGAATGAATTCGATATTTGACATGTGTGTCTGCACCTGAATTTCTGGTGGGGTCAGAGGTTTCCAGTTGTTGGCTTTGAGTTGGTGGAGCTCATCAAACTTCAGGCTAATGTTCTCGATAGATAGCTGCAGCATGTCCCAGAAACCAGCCAGGTCCTGGGAGATGGGCCGTGGGTGTGCATTTGGGTTCTGATACACAAAAGTGGCAAAAAACCACACACACACACACACACACACACACACACACACACACACACACACACATTGTTTATATGCTTATTGCACATTTTTGGAAAGATGCTTGCTGTTGCTATTTTGGAATTGGAAAGACACACACTTTTAAAAATCAGGTGCCATACTGTAAGTATGTGGGAGTACTGGGCCTGTATCCAGAATATGCATTTGACATCTTTATAACCCTTTTGTTTTGAATCTTAGGTTGAATCAAAATATACTAGTTTGTCAATCTATCTGTCCAGTACTCATCTTTCATTCAACTTCCACTACTATACTATAAACATAGAAATTTTAAATTTTTTTAAAATTGTATTTTTTTGCATTGTATAATCAATAATTAGCATCAGTATTAAAATAAAAAATATTTTGACTGTTTCAATGTGTACTTACATGTATATATAAGCATCTAAAAATCCCTTTTTGTGAGACTCAGTTTTCACACAGCAAGTGTGAAAGATGTGCAAATGCACACTCTACACTAGATACATAGTAAATGAGTGCTGGTCTAGCCTGTCAGGATGATTTGTGCAGGATGATGTCAGTGTTGGGCGGTGGGGGAGGCTGGGGGAGCATGCAGAGGATGAGGTGACACATACCAGATTCTCCTCACACAGCTCCCGGAACTGCTGGAACTTCTGGGACATCAGCAGCTGGGCACTCCCCACTGCACTGCGGATCTTCCCCAGGACTGCAGAAAGACACACACGCATGCACACACGCACACACAATTCACAATGCAATTACTCACAGAACCGCATACTGCAGGCATGTAGCGCTAACAGAGAGGGTGCATTTGTAATGCAACAGAAAAGCATGCGCTAGAATCCCCTTTTATCTGTGCCCCCCAGGAACAGAAGCCATTAAGGGAAGTGAAATAATTACTGAAATGATCTCCAAAAATAAAACACTGCATGAACACAAAATTAAAAATTGCATATTTATAGCACATAAAAAATGCTTTAGTTGCAGTCATGTATCAAAAAGAAAACTTCAAGCATCTGGTCATTAAAGAATGTACTATTTTATCTCTCTCACAATGTATGTTTGGCAGACTGATATATGATATAAACAAGGTTGTACTGCATAACCTGACTCCCACGGCCATTCCTATTGACTCACATATCCCTATGGAGAGGGAACTGTCAGTGCATACATTAGGCTACATGAAGCAAATGGGATCAGAAACTGAGAGGGGGGTAATGAATCTGCATTACAGAAAAAATGTCTTCAACTCCTTCAGGATGTGTGTGTGTGTGTGTGTGTGTGCGCGTGCACATGGTAGCGTGGGATCTGGGGAAACATAACCTTGAGAGAGCCTCCCTGTTCTGCACGTTCTGTGAGAGAATCTCTTGCCTGGAACCATAACAGCACACTAGCTGCATAAGCAATGGCATTTTCTGTAAGGCATGAAATCAGCTGTGCAGCAATGACAGGTATAAATACAGTCCGTCTGCTGGGGCTTGTTTGTTCAGTCTGGTATGTGCATGTGAGTGTATGTGCATAAAATATATTTGGACATGTGTATACAGACATGCACTGCAGTGCGTATAAATGTCAAGATCAAATAGTTGCCTGGAGGCGCACTGAGAAAAAGCCCTTCACTGTGTTTGTGTGAGAGATCGTTATACAGTGCGTCTAAAGGACAGATGTGTGGCTGGGGCCAGCAGCGGTCTATTGATAAGTATGCACGGTATGTCTGTGGAGGCCAGAGGGCCTGAGACAGGAACAAGCAGCTATTGTGGTCCAATTCCATGAATACCAGCACCCTCCAAATCAGAGGATCAGAGGATCAGAGGAGAGGAGAGGAGAGGAGAGGGAAAAATAGTCCTTCTTACTCTCATCAGGCAGCTCATTCTCCATCTCATCCTGCTCCATCTGCCTACACCAGCCCTCCATGCGCTCTGTCTCGGCCTGCAGCAACTTGAGGAACCAGCGGCCATCACGGGGGCACACCGATCGTCCAACAGCCTCCAGAGCCCCCACCTCTGGCTCGGCCACGCTGTCCATCCATGGGTCTGGAGGTGGCAGGATCGAAGGGTCGAACCCCACGTCCCCATAGTCATCAGCGGCACAGGCGTGGTAGTGGTTCCCCGAGCCCTGGATGCTGACGGTAGAAGTAGCAGCATCGCGGGAGTGCTGGCGGGGCATGGTGGCAAAGTGACGTGGTGGGAGCTCTGGGGCGTCCGTGGGGTCGTCTAGGTCAGCCTGCACGGCCGTGGTTACGCTATTGGAGCGGGTCATCCTGCGGTAACTGGGAAAGAAAGCAGAGAACCTTTTAAATATCTGATTTTATGTAAATGATTACACATACTCATATTGTATAGTAATATGACAGTAGTGCCTCCCTATGATCAGTAATTATGATAATATTGTTTACACACAGTTTGGGAGGTGCTCCTGGTGTGAAAAATGTTAATGATCACAGCAATCTCATCACTGATAGTGATAAAAAGCGTTTGTTGTTTGGAACATCTTTTGTGTGTGTGTGTATGTGTGTGTGTGTGTGTGTTTTGTCACCTGGCTCATTCAGAAGCAACAGAGTGCGCAATCATCTGTCACACCACAAGCCCTGCTCTGGGGGCTAATGCACATACACAAACAGTCCATGCACACAAACACACACTCACACACCTGGGACCCTTACAGCTGGGTGTGCCATGTCGTATTTTGCTCAGAGGCTTTGTGTCACTGTCAGGCAGCCTTTGCCAAGTCCCTCCCTACTATGTGCAACAGCAGACACAGACACTCATGTGCCAGAGGGACACGGGTGTTGGGGTAAGGGGGAGAAAGTGGCCAGTTAAATGTTCAGTGATTGGAGGAGCCAGCAGTTTAATCACTGCAAGATCACAGCTCAAAGTGGTACACGACTCAAAGCACATATTTTATTAACATAACAAAATGTACTGAGCCACTTTGATACGCATACTTAAGAGCCTGCACAGACAGGAGCTCCAAATATACAAACAAAGAGCAAATAAAAGTGGAATAGTACAGTTTTGAACTTATCACATATGTCCTCATGTAAACTTCTATATTCTGGTATACAAAGCATTCCTCATCCTACCATTAGACGTGTGGATTTACATATTTGACTATTTCTGCTGTCAAAACACAACAAATTAGTAAGAAGTAACAACTTTGCCAAGCCAGAAAATAGAATGAAATGCCTGCTAGCTGTACTTCGATCCAAATACGCCCACAGTCCTCTCACACATAAACCTCAGCTTGTCCTGCCTGCAGCACGACACACACAAAAGATCATAGCTCCATCACGTCTGCCACGGCCCATCTCCAGACCCACACTCCTCCTCGGCGCTACCCATTCATCTTTACCTCGCCTTTTCTCATTCATCTCTCCTCTCCTGTGAACAGAAAAAGGGAGAGCAAGAACAAGGGAGTGGCTTCGGGTAGATCAAACACAGCGTCTATGTGCTTTATGTCTGCGCACAAGCAGCCCGTGTGTGTGAAGAGCAGTTAAAGAGTAACTCCTCCGAGCAGGTGTTCAATTCTAATGACCTCAGCCTGCTTTCTATCAGCCTGCTAACAACTTCCTGCAGGGGCAGAGACGGGCAAGGCCAAACACAGCCCAGACAGAAAGACAGCCATATCAATAGACAGTAGGCAAAAGAACAAGGGAGGGCATTTAAAGAGAAAAAGACAGCATGAGGGAGAGAAGAGACTATAAAACATGAAGAAGAAATGCTGGAGGGAAAAAAAGAGTAACAACGCAGAAAGTACATGTTCTCGTTAGATTCATGTGGTGAACATGACAGAAAGTTGTAAATCTCACAGTCTTGCATTCCACATGCTGCCTGTTTCCGAATGCCTCTTTAACTAAAGGGTTTTTGTTATATATCTTAATAATCTTCCTCACATCTGCAGAGAACATGAGGAAATACTGAAGCATCTATAAACAAAAACAGGCAAAAAACTTATTTGGATATAGAAAGAAGCACCTGAACATATGTTGGATAACAGAAAACACAGCACTAAACAGCCACTCATGTCATTATGCACCAAAAGTTGCATATTATGCACCTGGGGATTATTGTTTGTTTGACTCATACCGGTAATGACAAGCCTTCAGTCAGTTAGGACAAAAATAAAAAGACAGGGAGGTCTAGCAGTCCCTTAAGTTGACTTTTCAAGATGGTTGTGCATATGGTTTAGTCACCAGCACCATGAGCAATGCTCATTTTCCCTGGGACTGCAAAGCCATCTGGTGACCACGAACCCCAGACCCTAAATCCGGAATCCATCTATTAATCTATCAAATCTCCAGTGCATATCATAGTTAATTCTTTGCACTTTTTTGCACATTTCTGATCTGATATTAATTTGTAATTTTTTTCTAATTCAATAACTCAATTCAATAATATGCATTTTTCTAAATAACTGCACTATCATATAGAGAAGATGAAAAATATGCCAAGTATGCATCTTTGATGGAATAAATACCATAAGTGAATAAAAATTTGCTTTATCTTCCATCATTTCAGTTCAGAAAGAAGTCTGTGTAAAGGCAAGCATGTTGTTTGTTGGGTTCATCTCTTTTCCAGCCCTTCCAGTTAATCCTAGTTCAAACAGCAAGGTGAGGTTATGACCTGTGACTGTTGCATATAAAAACCCAGACTTTCTCACACACACAGACACAAATAAGGAAGTTTAAAGCACTGGAGCGAGGCTGTAGGAGTTTGGCACTCTCACTGTCTGGGAATCTAATGTAGGGGGCGGCATGCACAGACCTCCCAGGCGCGCACACACACACACACACACACACACACACACACACACCCTACTCTAAATATTAACCTGAGAAATGCACAGCCTGCAGCGCTGCATAACAGCCAAGCCCCAGCAGACTGGAAGGTGTCTAGATGAGTTAATATTTGGCTTGGCGAGTCAGGGAACTCAGAGCTTGGTCAGTCAGCTGAGACCTCCCCTTTCAGAAAGCCCCTCACATTCCCTTACACTGTGTAAGTGTGTGCTGGACTCGGCCCTCACTGTGACCTTCGATTAAAGGTGATGTCTCTTTAAATTCCCAAAGCATGCCTTGGCTAAAAGCTGAAAACCAGCACCATGGCTAAATTTGTCAACTTCCCTCACCAAACAGAAGGTCACTGTGTTGACAGGGCGAACGAAAGCTGACAAAGAAACCATAAATGGCTGCGTATCCCACCAGAGGCCTCGATTAGCCTGGTGCGATGTGAGCTAAGGAAGCTGCATGCACACTAGACTGCTTCTCCTCAAACTGGGAACATGTTGCAGAACGAGAGCAGCACAGCAGTCTCTCACCAAACCCAATACCCCCCCCCCCCCCCCCCCCCCCCCCCCTCCCTCCCACACACACACACACACACACACACACTCAAAGTAACCTGAATCACAATGACTTGAGCAACAGATGGCTGTCAACTCACCCCTCCAACTTCCCAGCTCCCTGCACCACATCCTCTGGCCCAGCTGTCACTTGGGGCCCATCGCTGAGGGGGCTCTGACGCCAACCTCCCCTGAACTGGGGACAGCTGCTGTGGGGAAGCCCGCGCAGGGGGGCAAAAGCTTGTGCTGCACACTACAAACCTCTGTCTCCACAAGTCCTCTTCCCGTGCATGCTATCTCTGCCTCATCCCTCCCATCAGACTTATCCAGTTTCACTTTTACAACCTCCTTCTCTTTCTCTCTCTCTCTGTCTCTCTACTCACCATCGCTCATCCTCCACCTGAATTCCTATTGACTGGAATTTAGACTGCTCCTCTGTCAGCCCTCCTTCCTCTGGGTCCACCTAGGAGTAGGGGAGAAACTGTCAAACTGTGTGCCAGAGTTTTATTTTAGAACTTCAACAGAAACCCAGGCATCTACAAACCTGGATCCCTATGGAGAGGCACTTGCGGAGCTCTTCCCTCTTCGCCTTGCTGTCTGCAGAAACATGGGCGACGGCAGAGGTGGTGGCGGTGGCAGTGATGGTAATGGTGCTATTGGTGACGTGCTGGCTGGCGGGGCCATGCACCTGAGCGTTAGCCGCCTCTATGGCTGCTGTCAGAGCCTTCATGCTGTCGATGCTCTCCGTGGAGTTGGACAGGCCTGGCTGGGAGCTGATGCCTGTCCGCGTGCCAGAGCCCCCATCCATGTAGGCATCCTGGGCAGACTCGGTGCTGCTCTGGGCTGTGATGGATATGAAGGGTTTGGACGGTGTGGTCCGTGGTGGGACTGGGGGAGGCGTCTTCTTGTAAGTTGTGATGCATGATGACACTGCAGGGAGGAGACAGAGATAGACAGATAACAAATGATATGAATCTCACAAAAAGCTCCACCAATTTTACACATGAAGATCTGTTCCTAAGGAAGGCTCTGGAGGGCACTTTCTAAAGTCCCAGATGATGTGACAGTGAAGTGATCCAAGTTATTTAAGATGCAGGGTTTAGTTGCATTATGTGAATTGTAGGATACAGTGTTTAAAAAAAAAATTAGAATCCACTAGAGACTTAAGACAGAATATCTCTGCCTCTGCTGCTGCAATTTTAACCAATCCTTTTTTTAATCTGTCTCTTGGGAGTTGTGGAAGTGCAATCCTTAATCGTTGGAATACACCTTTAATTATCCTTGAAGGTCAATGCAGCAGCAAATTATGCAGCATATAAAATTAAATAAGTAAAAAGTAAATTCTGAGTACATGGAAGATAATACACTGCTAAAATAATATAAAAGTGGTATAAATTTATGATTAGAAATTTTTTGAATGAATGTAAGAAAATACAGCATGCATGCATGTTATACAACATCTATAATAAGATGGATAAAAATGTTGCAATCAAATAAATGAAATATAAATTAATTCACTGCCCGAGAGGAAAATAACTTTGGTGACAGCTGACAGCCTGACAGTTTACCCACAGGTCTTAAGGTCCTTGTGTTGGAGTCAAAATGGACAGTAGATTAGGGCCAACTTTAACAAATCAGAGCCTCGTCTAGTAATAGGATTAGTATGTCAGCCACTTGACCCACTGATCTAGATGGTTAAGCCCTCTATGCACTAACTGTACGCATCAGAACAATTTGATGTTGCCGATTATAGCCCTGCATGCTTGTGTGCCTTGTTGTTGTTTGCACACATAATTCCACAGAAGTTAAAATTATATTTATGATAAAGCTCAAATGTTAAATGATACAGTAAAGGACAGCTAGAGAGTTCAGTGCCCTCCAAAGGCTTTGTATTATATCCAAGCAAACAGATATTAAAAATCATCACAGTGCTGCTCAGTAACATTCGCCCTCTTTCTGTCAAGTGCCCTCTCAATCTCAGGTTACAGTTACAGGTTGTGCACAGACAATGGGGCCTCTCACACACACTGACTCAGAAGCTTGTGTATAGAAACATTGCCAACAAAAAACGACAAAAAACATAGCCTGACTGAAGAAAGACAAAAAAACAGCCACCTCCTAACTACATTATGCCTTTAAATCTCCTTCCTGGCCTGGTGCTATCATCAAAACTAGGTCGCCATCTCTCTGCTTTGCAGCAAAACTAGGACAGCGGGTTTCCTGGATCCCTTTAATCCCTACAAAAGACAAACATCCTACCGTGGCTAGATTGCTGCTCTGTGTGCGGCAGACAACTGTTGCCAGCCACACCCAGCACGAGCAGCCATGTCTAAAACTATTAGAGCCGAATGTTGTTTGCTTTGTGTCTTGTCATCTCACTGACAGCTAAAGAGAGGCCTTGACATATTGGAGGGGAACAGAGGGCTGACTTCATCTTCTCGGTTTGTCAGAGTCATCCGCTGCCTTCCACCCACCCTCCCACTTCCCTCCTGACTTGCCGGCAGTGATTGGATGATCCCAGACAAGATTTCAGTCAGATTTTGACAAGCTGGAAAGTCCTCAAACGGGATGAGTGCTGCCTTGAGATTAAATCACAGTTGCTAATATGAGCGTCTTTGATGGTGGCGAAACATACCACAAGAAAGACAAAAGGAGTTGACTTACTGTATTTCCTTCCACAGCTAAATGTCATGAGTTTTTCTTTTGACAGATATAGCATATGCAGGAATTACTGCCAAAGTCAACTTAGGCGGAATCGTCTGAGCATGCCACGATATGCAGCACTGTCTCGACTTTTCACATCCGTCTAGGGAATATGATGGACATCTAAGTCTAATCTTCCAAAAGGTCACTGAGTACGGACCCACAAGAGAACAAAAAATGCATAGTGAACACACACATGCACTCACACAGAGGGAGAGGGCGAGGTCTTGCCCCTATCAGCCGTGGAGGTTCAAAGGATAGAATGTCAGCCCCTTTCAGAGCTTCTATCCCCTGAAGTCATCTAAAAGTCACACTAGTGGGTGTGCGCATGCTGGATGACTATATGTGTGTGTGTGTGTGCGCTCCTCTCAGGCCCAGAGAAGGCTTAAAGAACAGAGGGTTTTCATCCACTCAATAAAGCACTGTATGAAACAGGAGACGACGCGGCGTGTCCCACCTAGCTGTCACTGCGAGAGCCAGACACGCCGGAGAATGACGGGGTGTGGGGTGGGGGTTTTGAATGCCAAGACAGGTTAAGTAAATACACTCAGGAGTCGGAACATGCCCACGCACACATGTGTATGCACACATGTGCCTGCAGACATGCACATGCAGACACAGAGGCACACAAATAAGATTGACACAACCCAGCGTAATGTTTCAATCTCTCCACATCAAGGGAGACCACAGACTTCCTGCCACTGATATGCCCTCCATCCACCAGGAGCTGTTGCCAACAGTGACCCGGCCCATCCTAAGTGACTTGGAAGCAAGTGTGTGTAAAGATGTGTCTTCAGACATTTACCTAAATGATTAGATTAAAGTTCCTAAGCTAGAAAAACTCTCTTTCCTAATTCTTGTCTGACCGACAATAGTGAGGGGAGAGCCTCGGACCAAAACAACTGTCCTGATAAGACAGAAGCCAAGTTTCCAGTTTCCACAGAAATGATAAGAAAATAGTTTGATCCTCTTGCTGCCATGAAAGCATTAGACAGCTACACTGCCCTGGACCTCCCACACACAGACAGTCAAGGACAGAGTGAAGTAGGATTGTGACGCAGGATTCCATTAGACACTTAAGAAGGAATGTGGAAAACTGCAAACACAGATAAACACTGACGAGCACGCAAAAACGTTTTTCTGTCACTTCATAATATCAGGTCAGAGGAGGAGCTTTGATCACAGAAAAAAAGAAAGACATCATTCATATTCTCTTGGGTGCAACAAGAACCTGCAACACCTTCCTCATATAAGGGAATTTCATCTCGCTTCCCTCTCAGAGGTAGGTGCAGCCTGCTGCGAGCATTGTCATCCCAAAGAGAAGAGTTTGTGAATGACAAAACTCTAGTGGCTCTCTGCCAAATCCCTCTTTTGACAAATGCTTCAAAAGTCCCATGCCGACAAGTTGGTGTGAATAGCAGTTCTTCTTGGCAGAGCACTCCCCCCACCTCTGGGCTTGATAATATCAAAAGAAAGCCCTCTTCCCTCCCCTGAGACAAAGCAAAGTCTCCATTCATTCTCCAGCCTTCAGAACAAAAACAGACCTGCTAGCTGCCTCTCTGTTTTTGGTTCTGTTGATCACTGTGTCCCATTTGTGTGTCTGCATAGGTGTATGCTGTTTCCTTTATTTAATGACTGTGTTCATGTTACTGAACAGATTGAAGGCAGGCAGCTGCCTTGTAATCTCCAATCTGTGTATCTGTGTGATAGGCCACTTCAAAGAGCAGACAGTTTGGTTTAAGCTGCTAGCTAACAGGAACGGGCTCCCCCGCGCGGGGGCCAAGGGCAAATCCACCACCAACCAAACAAATACAAAGGCCCGGAAAGGGGGCGGTCAGTACGGGGTAACATTGACAGCTGAGCCCAGCTGCACTGTGTTTGGGATGAGGGTCTGCCAGAGGGGAGAGGCCAGAGAATATTGAACAGAGAAGAGGAGCTGAAGAAGACTGAGGAGGAGGAGGGTAAATCAGAGAGTTACTGCCCAGCTCCTTCTGCTCCCTTTCTGTCCATTTGTCCATGTCCCTTTCTCTCTCTCTCTCTGTGTATGTCATACACAAACGCACACGCACAGTGAACCAGCTGGAGTCCTTTGTGATAGTGTGACCATGGTGACACATAGCAACATGAAGTTTGCCGGGAGGCTTGGCGTTTTACCAGCAGCAAGCAGAGGGGAGCTTCTGTTGGCCATTTGTTTACCTTGACAGGGCACACTGCAGCTGCACTGACACACACCTAAACATCAGCCAACAAGGAAACAAAGCAGGAATAATGGGCCACAGCTTGCTCAACTTCAAATAACAAACAAAAATCAAATAAACACCAGGATAAAAGAGAGCAACTGAGTGCCACTGTGTTGCAAATGAATATCTAATAATGTTTCTAGGCCTGAAGCCTCAGCTTTGTGCAGCTGAAAACTGAACTCCACCAACCAGTTTGTCTTGGATCCTTGTCAAAAAAGCTTGTCACTGCCTTATGAAATGACAATAACCTGAAAAGTTCACACAGTGTGACATTACACTACCGTTGTGAACAACAATGCAGCAATACAAGGCATATCCTAAATGACTCAACACAGCCTCCACTAGGCTACAACGAGTTACTCTAAAAAAATAAAAAATAAAAATAAGAATTACAAAAAGCCTCGAGTTTGTTTTTTAAGTGTTGTGTGTCAAAATAACCTACGATAGTGGGTTTGTTGCTCATCACTTATCACTGATAATCAGCTAATAATGTGGAGACACAAGAAACCCTTAACACACTGTTTACAATGGTCCTTTAGAATAGAACAGTCATCTGACAGCACTCTGAATCACCTGAAAGTCTCCCAGAGACCCTCATGTCAGTCTAAAACTCTAAGCCACCAGAGGTCAGAGGTCACCACAGAGGGTTTCTGCTCTCCAGATGCCTGAACTCTCTCAGACACAATAGCTCACTGTGTGTGCGTGTGAACATGAGGGGAAGGTGGCAGTGTGTGAGGGCCTTTTAAAGAAGTATATTTAGCATGTGTGAGTGCTTGTTGGCGAGGGAGTTTTGAGTGCAAATTGTACCAGTGTTGTAAACACCCTGCACAAACTGCAGCATTTAAATAGTTTTTCACCCCTCCCCAGAGTTAAACATAAGCAAGCATATCAGCACAAAACATTTGTTAAATATGCCTCCAGTGTCCCCAAGACCAGCACTGCTATCAACAAAGCCGTGTGCTCAGTGTGCCCCTTTTGATAGAAACC